ACATGATTGATGTAATGACCAAGTTATTTCAATTGGGAAGAAGTTAGAAATCAGGTAGAAGCAAAAGAAGAAAGGAGAGTTCAACTAAAGATGAGGAAGAACTTCCTGAGAGCAATAGCAATTAAACAGTGGAATGGATTGCCTTAGAAGATGAGGGACTCTCCTTCACTGAAGATTTTTAAACAGCACTCTACTCATTTATCAGGATTTATTTATCTGTGTCTCCGACTTTGATGGGGAATTTAACTTAAATATTCCCCTGGAGTCCTTTTCAGTTGTGATTCTATCAGTTTTGTAATTCATTTGCAGTATAAAGTGATGTGATCTTTTCAGAAATGTTGAAGTAATCCAGGGTTTGGTGTGGAATTTTATGAAAAGTGAAAAAATGCAATGCTTTTAAAAACACTCTTTACAAGCACCAGGTCACTGTTTCTTTAGGGATATAAGAAATCCATCATTTCTTAATTTAATTGAAGAGAAGCAAAATAAAGATGGAAATTCAAAATGAATGGAACATTCGTGAAATAGAACATAATCATGTATTTGAACGTAGTCTGTAAAGTGTTATGCAAATGTAGAAAGCACTCATTTTCATTTAAAAAAGTGAGAAAAGGAAACAAACTTGTCTGATTTATTTCTTTATATGTCACTATCAGCAATTTCTAGTTCTGATTGTTTTAAATCAGCATCAAAGATATCGAAAAATCAACTTGTTTGTGTTGAGACATCTGTACATGTCTGCTGATTTCTAATCTTAGGCCTGTTCCTTTCACATGCTGAAGAAGATTTCATAATCTCCCCCCCCCCCCCCGGAAAACAAAACATCGTAGTCCTGGGGGCAGGAGAAGACTTTTCCCCTTGATTTTTTTCAGAGTGTTCGTATTTCTCAGAATAGCAAAACAGACAAGGGCAAGAGTATAGTCTGTGTGGACTCATGGAGAATCAGTGGGAAAGGCATAGTTTTAATCCTGCTTCTTCTTTGGCTCTCCAATTCAATTAACTAGAGATAAAATTACACTGAACGTCTTGGTTTGATTATGCTGATATGGAAAATTATAATGGCCCTGGCTTGTGTTTTTCATATCTGTGGAATATTTGTTCAAAGTTATTTCAGTGCTATACTACCAAGTAAGCAAACAGCTGGAATTGAGGGAATGTGGTTATAAAAGTTACTTGGATCTATCTAATGTTTTGGAATACAATTTTCCAGATTCTGATACAGGAAGAAACTTTAGTCCTGTTTTGATCTAAACCTATCAAAATATTTTTACATAAGAAAAGGCAGAGTATGCAAGAAACAGCTTGTGACTATCCTCAGTGGGAGAGCTGTGATTAGACAAGAAATGAAATTTACCAGAACAAGAGTGAGAGGAGGCACCATATGGAATTTACCAAGAGTAGAGCTTGCCAAACAGGTGGGCTTTTTCATTGTTTCTAGTTAGTTGAGTATATGGAGCTACCCTATTTGGGTCATCTAGCTTAGTCACCCTAAACTAGCATTGCTCTGATATTTTGATATTACATCTTCCATTAGACCCAGTGGTCAGTAGTCAATTATGGTTGGTATTAGGGAAGAAAATTGATGGACCAGTGAAGGTGGGGGATGGCTGATCCAGTCAAAGTAGTTACTTAGTTTAGCAGAAGCTCTCTGAGGTCTCTGGCCAAGTTCTTTGCCATTTCTTTGCCCCGAATGCTGGTAGAAAGCATGTGTCATGGCCACACTTTATGCCATACTTCAGCATTAAGTATAAAATTGCAGCAAAGCAGGTCATATGTTGTGTAGAAGATTAGCAGCACTAAATTCACCTGAGGGTCAGTTTTGTCTCACTGGTTCTGTTCTACACTGACTATGCATCAGTGTTTGCATCTTAGTAAAAGAGATAATGTGTTCATATTTCGATTATAGAACCTCTGGTATGCCCGTGAATCCATGTAAGATTCTTTCACCAATGATATGTTGAAAGTCAAAAATCATTAATATAAGATTGTCAAATAAATTACCTTCCATTAACAATCAGGGTCTCTGTCTCTGGGTTGTTGTTTTTAATGGAAGTTCATAATAAGGATACAAAGACTATTCCATAGCAAATGAATAAAATAACTAAATTTCAGTTTTTCAGAATGTGCAACTATTTTTTATTATTAAATTACATGTCACCAAAAGAAATTTACCATTATATGTTTGTTTATTTGTTTTGGACACAAACTCCCAGAATTATCTAGACATTTCCAAGGCAGAACTCTGGGAGTTCCACCTAGGGCATGCAGCCTCAGAGTTAGGCCCTGCTCTAGGTGAGTGAAATAATGGTGGTTGAAGCTGGGGGTCGGTGGGCTGGAACTTCCATAGTTCTGCCTGATAAATTTTTAAAGAAATTTGGGAGTTGGAGCCTAATACAAAAACCCCATGGCACACTGCTAGCTATCAAGCCAGTTCTAGCTTTTGATGATCCTTTACAGCGTTTTCACAGTATAAAGTAGTGTACTCAGAAATGGCCGAAGAATCCCTTTTTCTGGGTCTCTTTTGGAGTGATCAGCTTAACTAAGGCCACACTGGCTGTCTCTTCTCATTGGAGACATAGTGAGGAAACTGAACTCAGAAAATTGAAATAGGCTCAGAAATAAGCTCACACTACAGTGTGAGTGGGCATTTATAACAGAGCATGGAAGTAAAAGATTGTTTGACAACATTTGTGTTTTACCTTCTTGTGGAAAGCTATCTTGGTATGTGGTATGTCAGACTGTTGGCAGCGGTCAGGACACCTGTTGGAACATGGAGGCACTTGAGGCTAACTTGGATGATTCTAGATTATTTTGAAACACTATCCTCTTCAAAAGGAGCAGTAAACCTTAGGAGTGAGCAATGTGTCAAAAGCTAGCTAGCTAGAAGTCCAGTTATTTATGCAGACCATGGCATCTTACTTTTCACTTTAGATGGGAGTGCACAAGGGGAACTGATCTATTTTAAATGATGTGATATGCAGGAAATCGTACCTCTTTTTCATGGGAAGATGCATGGACTCTAATGTGCATTAGTGCATATGCATTGTCACAACTCTTGCTTTGTCTTTCCTTATATGTTTCTAAATACCATTCAGAATTATGTAATGTAATTTGCATCAATTTAAGTGACCTCATATTTCTCTAACTTAGAACATTTGCAAACCTTTTAGCTAATCATCTCTTTAATATAGTGGTCCATATTTATTTTTGCCTTGATAGCTCAGTGGTTTAGGTATCTGGCTACAGAGCCAAGGGTTGGTAGTTTGATTCCCCATTTTGCCTTGTGTGAGTAGAGCCAGTCTGTGTGGCCTTAGGCAAACTGCACAGTCTCAAGGTTCCCCAAAAGAAAGGAAACTACGTCTGAGTATTCTGCACGTAGAAAACCCTAAAAAGGGTTATCATAAGTCAGAATTAACTTGATGACACACAATTATTATATTAAATTTTACATACTGCATGTTTCCCTTTATAAGACAACCCAATGTATAAGACGACCTCCCCTTTTCTAAGCCCAAATTAGAAAATTTGATCCATGCTTTTCCCTTCCTATTACTAAGCCATGGAGCTTGGTAAAAGAAAGGGAAAAGCAGGGATCAAAGGGCTCCCTTTGACTGCCACTTTCCTTGCCTCTTGCGAAGCCATGAGGCTTAGCAAAAAGGAAAGGCTCCCTTCAGGTAAAGCAGCCATGAAAGGGCTGCATGATCACAGCCCTTTGATCCTGAAGCCCTTTCATGGCTGCTTTCCTAAGACCTACGGGGCTTCAAAAAAGGCAGGGAAAGCGGCAGCCTTCCGTATATAAAACGACCCTCAATTTTTTGTCTAATATCATTTAAGGAAAAGGTGTTATTTACTGTGCATTTTCTTCCAAGAACATTCTAGATATTATTATTATTATTATTATTATTGTTGTTGTTGTCATCATCATCATCATCATCATCATCATCATCATTATCATTATTATCATTATTTGGCTGACTAGGAACATGTCTGTCTTGTCTGGATTAAGTTTCAGTTTATTTACCCTCATCCAGTCCATTACTAATACCAGACACTGATCTAGAGCCGAAAGAGCTTCCTTAGATTTAGATGCCAAGGAGAGTTAAAGTTGGGTGTCATCTGCATACTGTTGACACCAAACACTAGAATTCTGGACAACCTCTCCCAAAGGTTTCATGTAGATGTTAAATAAATCTATCTGGGCTTTTTTCTCCAGTCTTGAGCACTGAAATCTGTAGTCTTTGCTAGAGTAACATTCAAAATAAATCACTGTTGCCTTTCTTTAAAAGTGTGTGTGTGGGCTTTCTGGCTAGTTTCTCTTATCTCCACTTCCTTTTGTTGCAAAATGGGTACATGCTTTTAGTGTCATAGTGGCTTGGCTCTGAAGGAAAGCCAGGTGTGTCCTACTACTTGAATTTGCCAGGCGGCATCCAGATCCAGATTCCATAAATTCTCCCACAATATGTGGCAAAAGAACAAAATATCAGCACTTATTGAATTCAAGACCTCTCTCTCAAAACAAAACTTAAGAATAATATTTCCTTTTTCTCTTTTGGAGCTGCTCTTTTCTGATAGACCACTACAGAATCAGAAAATCTTTTTGGGATCCATTGTATGTTAAGTCAAAAACATGTTTGTGGAAGGAGATGATCTACCCTTAAAATGAACTCTGTTACATCTGACATTAGAAGAAGTGCAGTTTGCAAAAGTTTTTCACCCTAAAGTATATGGTTCATTTGCCAGAAAGAGGAAATAGCTGTGGTTTCACAGGCAAACTTACTCTTAAGAGATCGGCTTCGTAATGGTTCTGTACTGGGATGCTAAATAGCCTTACAGAAGACATGAAACAAAGCTATAGCTTCTGTTGTATTAAGTCCCTTTTTCCTATTTATATGTTTGCCTCATTTAAAGATTAAAGCAAGTATAAATGCTTAAGTAGCGGCCAACTTTTCCAGTGTAAAAAAACAACACCAAAACCTCATTTTTTTTGTTTTGTTTTGAAGGCTCATCAGCAGAGTAGAAAAGCTGACCGTTTGCTGGCAGTGGGGAAGTACGAAGAAGCAATTGCTTGTCACAAAAAAGCAGCAGGTTAGTAGGTAATCGTGAGACTGTGTATAACATAGCAATTGTGGAAGTATGCTCAAAATGTACATTGACCTGATCCTGGCTAGGGCAAATGTGTTATCTTGGGAATTGAAGAGATGTAAAATAAGAGGTGCATGTAGGGAGGTAAAATAAGGATGGGGTTTCTGATTTCTTGTATGCATATGGTTACAGTTTCCTGTGGTCTAAACATTTATTGTGTGTTTTATACAGCATATCTTTCAGAGGCTATGAAGCTGACACAGTCGAATCAGGTGAGATTGCATTGTTTAAATTGTTTTAAATAATAGGTGTTAAGTATGTGGTCTTTTTGGTGTCATCGGATTGTGCCTCCCATGTTCCTTTAATTCTGGCTATTCTGTCTTAAAAGTGGTGAGGGTTGCAGTCCGAAAACATCTGGAGGGCCATATATTTCCTACTTCTACTTTAAAGAATTGGAATATGATGCTCAGAATATTTTTACTTCATTGTTTAAAAGGTGCATTTGATTTAAAAAAAAATTTAAAATACGTGAAAACAGGTCTTAGGCTGTAATAGCTTAGTCCACTATAAACCTAATGTACTTTTCAGAAAAACAGACCTGAACTGTAAATCTGTTTTAAAGGGCCATCATAATTTGCCTTGTTTTGTCCATGACGGTTCTGTAGAACAGTTGACAGATTGTTTCTTTTGATAAGGGCTGCCTGAGGCTTACCACCTCCTCCCCTTTAATCCATCCAGTAATTGGGTCAGCAAAGCAGAGAAGCCTTCCATCAGAATCTTCCATCCTTCCCCAGTGCAAGACCATGGCTTCACACTAGTCCATGCTAAATCAACAACCATTTTGCAGAAAAAGATAAGGTACTCTCAATGGAAGGAAGAGTTTAATTCTGCAAGTGTCAGTTGCTTTAAAAATGGTTGAATTGATCAAGTACTATTTTTAAGTGAACTTGAAATAAGGAAAACACGGGTCCAAAGGTTAAGAGATGTACAACTCAGTTAGGAATAATTATGCTTCTTTAACACTGAAGTCAATTAAACAGTAGTGCTATTTGGACCTTGATACCTGTTAGAACATCTCTCTTATGAAGTAGTTACCCATTCTCCCAGCACTTCACAGTCCAGGACGTTAAAAACAATAACACCATGATAGGTTAAAAGAGCCAACACCAGAAACCAGGCTTTGTGGGTTGTGACCCCACACCTCTGGAATAACCTTCAGCAGAGATTTGTCAGGCTCCTTCCCTCAGTCTTTAAGAAGGCAGTAAAAACAGAACTGTTTAAATCTGCCTTTTATTGGTTATTGTACCTGTGAAGTTCAATGTTGTCTTAAATTGTTTATTTAGAGGATAGGCTAGCTGATCAGTGGTTTTATCAGTTGATTGATTTGTCTGTTGATTTGTATTTGCATGATTTTTGTATTTGCATTGCATTATGGGGCAATATAGAAGTTGAATAAACAAATATTAGAAGATACCACTTATCAACATGCAAATTGTTGAAAATATCACATTTCAGAACAGGTTTGCATGTTTTCTTTTGTTTTTGTTTTTTTACACAAGATGGGAATATTGTTTTTGCAAAGAGAAAGATGATGGAAAGGGTAATAAAAACAGCAACTTTTTTTTCCTTCCTGAATTGTTCTTGCTGGTTCACTCAAGCCTCCTGGCTACTTATTTAGTCACAGTCAGAGTCTGTCAAATATCCTGTAAAACCCAGAATGTTGTGTGATGGGCAGTTCACTGTTGTTGGGGGTTTTTTTTAGCAATGTCAGATGGTGGAGGTATCCTGAGAGGGGGTTGCTTGCTTCCTAGCCCTACAACAGTTGGGAAGAAACTGAATAACACAGAAGAGCCATTTCCTATTGTTGAACTGTCAAACTGCAGCCAGGTCTAAGTAGGAAGGCAGGAAAGCAGGCAGGCTTCAGAGGCAAAGGCCATTTCCAAGGCCCCGTATGAAGCTATCCCGCTTGCTGCAAAAGCTGGGTAATTGTCTTTATATAATGCATTTGAACAATCTGCCAGCTCTTTACTTAATATAATTAATAGTCAAAAATGGCTGATTTTTCAGAGTAGTTGTTTTCAGTGAAATTAAAAGAGCAGTAAAATAGAAGAGGAACTACATCTGGCCATCCGCAGGTACAAGCAAAAGGGACAAATCCTTTAATTCATATTTCTAGAATCCTTGCCTGCTATGTTTATTTTTTTGTTATAGCTTTTTAAGATGCATGATTGATTAACAGTTAACTAACTTGTTTTTGAAATTTTAGCAATACCAAATGCTTTGGCTAGGATTGGTGATTTAGGGTTCTGTAAGTGAAAATGTGTAAATCATGGCAGCAGCTCGCTGAAGGGCTATTTACACTCCTTCATGACCAGCTGTGTGTGCCCCTGAACTATACTCAGCACCTTGTTAATTAGTGGCATCTTGTTGCCTCAACTTACGCAGGTTCACTAATGCAAGCCTAAATCATCAATTGGATTCTGTCTGCATTTGATTAAAGTACTTTAATACTAACAACTGAATATTTTGAATAAGAAATAGTTTTCATCCTTTGACCTGTTAAAATGCCAAATCCTGTCTTATAGTTATATCCAAGGCTTAATAGAGAATGGATCTATGGAGGTGAAATTCAGTCTTTTGTTTTCATCTTTGCACAGGCTCAGTTATCATTGGAATTACAAAGGGAAAGTCACCTGAAACAAATACTACTTATTCAAGAACGGTGGAAAAGGGCAAAAAGAGAAGAGAGACTCAAAATCCAGCAGGCTGTGGACAAGGATAATGCTGCACACTTGCAACCTTCTTCCAAACCATCAGCTGAGGAATGTGATGACCAAAGTGTAACAGCACCCACTAGTCTCAAATACAACCCCTTGCCAGTGAAGGATATGCAGGCCATCCATGGTGTCTTGGATAGGGACCCAGATACACTACTCTTTCTTCTTCAGAAAAGAAAGGAACCGCTGGAAGTATGTGTAAGAAGCAAAACTCCAAAGGATGATAAGACAAAAATAGAGGAGCAGGCCACCAAAATTGCACTTCTAGAACGACATGTAGAAGTCCTCTTAGCTGAAAATGAGCGATTAAGGCAAGAGAACAAGCAGCTCAAAGCTGAGAGGGCCAGGCTCCTCAAATCCCCTCTAGAAAAAGAGCTGGATGTAGATGCTGACTTTGTAGAGAAGTCAGAGTTGTGGGGTCTGCAGCAGCATTCAGAAACTGCAGCCTCCTCTGCTTCCTCTTGGCAGAAATTTACAACCACTGCAGGGAAGGCCAAGGACATTCCTATCCCCAGCCTTCCACCACTAGACATTCCATCCTCTGAGCTTCCACTCTTAGAGCTCTCAGAGGATATATTGAAGGGACTCATGAACAGCTAAGTGAAGACCACAGTGGATGCCTACCTGTAGTTCATCAAAATTCTAAAAAGGGAAAGCCATCAGTACCACAGAAATCCAAGAACAGAAGCATCAACTCCATACCCTAGAAAGTGGGGAGAAAGGGGACTTGGTCACTGTGAAAAATATACATCGTGTTGGATTGGATGGGTAGAGTTACTATTTACCATCGTTGGTAAAAACAAAACACTTTTTTCGCTCAAGCCAAATGACTGAAGGTAAACTTGATAACACAGTTCTACAGGGTTTATCGGTATGCTATGTGTAACAAGTCTCTAATGCCATAAAATAATGCAAAACCTACATGGTATGAGAGTGACCGTTTTGGCAATGGAAGACATTTTCTGTCATGCATTTGATTTCTAGTTGATTTAATCGTGCACAAAAACCAGTCAACTGATTGGAAGTTACTTCTGTTCCACTGCAAGATGGATTTGTGTGCCACACTTCTGCACTCCTGACTTAAAATGTAATCTCAGCCAATCAGGAGACATGCTAAATTTCCATTTTTTAAGGAACCAAATTTAGTTTTGTTGGAATACTTTGATTTGTTTACATAATCAGGGTGCTTCATAATGTGTGTTTTCTGTATAAGAAACTACTAGGCATTGTTCTAGACAAATATATAAGGATGAGCAGTCCTTGTTGCATGAATGGAAGTAATAGTAGTTGCCAGAAAAATAAAATGTTTCAGGTCTGTTTTGAATCTTTTAGTTGTTCATTTCAAAACTCAGACTCAGGCCATTGGATCATCTAAAGCAAAGCTATCTGTTCTGATTGGCAATGTTTTTTCATGACTGCAAGCAGAAGTCATAAGCCTTGGAGGTGTACATTTTTGTTGTTGTGAACTGCAATTCCCAGAATTCCCCAGGTGGAATTCTCAGAGTCTCAGCCCACAAATGCACACCTACAGAAACCTACATGTTTCTCACTTGGATCAAGGCGTTCCTCAATGTTGGCATGCCCTTCTCTGAGCCTTGTTTCTTCTTGGTAATGGGGGAGGAAGCTGCTGTGCTGCTCCCAGGAGTTGTAATCTCACTGCTCATTAGGCTCTATAGAGGGTGCCTCCGAAAGAACTCCCAGAATTCTGCCTGGTGAATTCTTGCAGTTGAACTAAAAAAAACTGAAAAAGCACACACCTTAGCCCTGCTATGTGAAATATAAATCAATGAGTGAATGTATTTGTACACTATGGTCTCAAATACAACCCTTTGCCAGAGAAGGATATGCAGTCAGTCCATGCGTTGTCCTCAAACAGTAAATATTGGGAGGTTTCAGTAGTGTGGTCAGGATTTCCAATGTATTGTTCGCTGGTGTAGAATCTGTGAAGATCTTTCTACATCCTCACAAAAGACTGTGCATTGTCCCCCATTCTCTGTTTTCCCCAACAGAAACAAAAGAACAATCTTGTTCTTGTAAAATGTTCAGTGGTGAGAGAGGAAGTGAATGGCATAATTTCTGCCATTTCTGCTTGGTATGTTTCTGTGTAGCGCACAGTCCATTATTATGAATGAACAATCTATGTGACAGTTATTATGTGATGGCACCCATAAATAACACTTCCCAAATTGCAAATGTAGCAATGGGCTAAAAGTAGTAAGGGAATCCTGTGGGCATCCCTCTTCTAGCGGCTAATTTGTGGACAGTGTGAGGGGAAGAACTGCATATATAAAAATAATTGTGTAGAGTTAAACATCTGAAAATGACTTTGATGTCTGTGTATGAGCCTTCTGCATATGTTCTGTAGATGGCTGATTACCTAGTGCAACAATTGTTCTGCATCAGGTGAAGATTTTACCATCTCCATGATTTTTGACTGTAATTGTCCAGAAGCATCAAGAGCATTTGAAACTAGATAATGGTGGTGGAAGACACCTTGTTTTGTGTCTGTTGGAAGCATGCCTAACAGCTTCTTCCTTCCAGGTAACAGGCAGGCTCTAATTTATTACACTGATCCTCTCCTGAAGGAGCACTGCTGAACCATCCCAGAATGGTCGTGCCCATAGAGTTGGTGAAGCAGGGTTCTTTCAGAGCTCCTGTGCTGTTAGCTGTTTACATCATCTTCAGATTTTCTTTTTCCCACCCCTACAGTGAATTCCCCTTCCTCAGTTCCTGCCCTTCCTTATTTATTCATAATCTGTTGCTAGTACTGTTACATAAAAGCTGAAGAGAGGATTTTTCCTCAGGTGAGCTTTGTTGTGAGAAAGCATGAACTTTTACCCCCATGGAGTTTTGGGGGGAAACTGTTGGAGACACCCACTCAACTGGGCTAAATAGGTTTTGATGAGATTCACAGAGAAGCTGGCAACTGTCATAACCCATCAACTATGATGAAAAACATCTCATGAGGAAGCACTCCATACTGAATTTTGCAGGCCTTTCAGACCAAAAGACAGCTGTGATACAGTGGTTTGCCATATGGGCAAGGCAAGTTCCTGAGGGCCTACTGGATTATGCCCCCGCTCTCTTCATATCAAAGTACTTCAGTCTGTTGAGCCCTGCTCACTGGACTCAGCAAAGGCTGGAAATGTTTTCTGGACCATTTGCATTGGGACCATGGTAAGTAGCATGGAAGCAGACACATTGCTGGGGAAAAAAACTCCTTTGAATTATCCCCTCAATGGATTTAAAAGAATTCAGCCAGTTTTGTGGCAAGATGCACTGATACTGCTTTTGTTTTGGCCTCCTTTGGTCTTGGGCATATGTATGTCAAGTGCACTGATTTTTAAAAGGAACTTCGATCCTAATGGAGAGAGGTACCAGTTCCCATTTTTTACTTCATGGTCTATTTCCACTTCAAAGCCAAGTCAGAAGAAGAGGCACCCAGCAGCATATTAAAGGAGTAGAGCTGGGTGCAGGAAAGAGAAAAAAAAGGTGTTCACATCTCTAGCTCCTCAAGGGCCATTTGCTGGGATGGGGGGGTGATCCTTTTAAAGGAAACCTGTGTTCACCTTGGGAGCCTTGGCTGAGCATCAATCTTCTGAAGGTCTGGAATGGTACAGGAGAAAGGAGGGGGGCAAGTAGCATGGAGCTTTTCTCCAAGGGCAAGGAAAGTTTCTTGCCATTTCTGTTATATCTTGTGGGGAGGGCATTCTACCTTCTATTGAATCTCAGGCAGCATATTTTCTAACAATTTCTGCCTGTGCAGTGGGGGGTAGTGAATAGATTAGATTCTGTCTGTTACTCTTATTGGTCTGTTCTTTGTCCTGTTGTTTTGCCCTCTTTCTACTTTGTAGAAAGTTTCATGGGCTTTAGTTGGTTTTTTGCTTGCCCATGTCTTTGGACTTCAGGGGTTGACAGGTTAGCTAATTTTGGCAAGCTGGTCTAGGAGGGCGGAGGAGCATCTCCTACAAGAAAGGTTCAGCCTGATTGGATCCTGACTGTCATCTGGAATGTCTTCCGAAGCAGCTAAAAAGTTGGAATTCAGAATGAGAAATTACCATTTTATTTCCGGAGAAGAACTGAGACATCCATAGACTTCCAGTAATAGTCACTCTCTAGCAGGATCAATGCCCACCTGGAATACAGGGTTCTCCCTTCACCAATGCAGTGCCAACCAAGATCTTTCAAGGAATATTAGAAAAAGCAAGCTCTCCCATTTATGGCTCTACATTTTGGTAATCAGAGGTATGATTCCTATAGTGCCATCCTAGCCAGTAGCTGATAAATCTCTTGTAACGTATTTTTAAAATCCAGTTATCTACATGAATAGTATGGCATAATTTGAGGAAGTACAGATTTTGTTCCTGATGCTCCTGCTCAATTTCTGTGGATATTTTGAGCTACAAGAGTTGAGGAGGGAGCTTCTTTTCACTCAGTTTTACATTGTGAAATACAGTCCTTTTGCTGCTTAACTAGGTAGCTAACACTCTTTCCAAGGTAATGAGTTCTACATGATAGTTTTGGCCAGCTAAACATCAATACTTTGGTCTGAGTCTGGGGCCAGAAGCTGACATTCTTTATAGATTTTATTCTGGTTCATGTAAAAAACAAGTTCTAGCTCTATTGCAATAGAGATCAGAGAACAACTTACTCATTCCAAAACATGAAGCCACAAGAACACTTTAATGTGAAAATGCTGATCTTACTAGCATACAGGTAATATGTAATTTAATTGGTGTGCTTCTTCCTCCCTCCCTCCCTCCCCCCCCTTTTTTTGGCAAAAAGAATTATTTTGACCAGCTTTAATTGTGATTTTTGTTGTCATTCATTTTAAAGAATCCTAAACCTGCTTTACCCTGTTAACATGTAGCTATACATAGGGAAAACTAGCTTAAGGGCATAATCCATTTCACTGAAATTTGATTTAATTAGAATTTGAAAAACAACAAAGAAGTAAAGAAAGGATGCTCTGGCAAATATGGATGGAAGGGAGAGAAGAAGCAAGAGGAGATTAAGACTAGGCCAACTCATAGCTGGTGGGCTGGGGTGTGTGTTAGTGAATAGGGCGATGAACAAGGACTTAGAAGGCTTGGGTTCAAATCCCTGTGGCAATGGAAACTCATGGGGGGGAGTAAAACCATTTTTTAATATCACACATGCCTTGAATACCCTATTAGAACTGCTATGAAATGGATGCTACCTGACACCACAAAACAATATGAACGTTTTTTTTATGCAAAGAGTGCCATCTGCTGGACAGTGTCCTCTTGTAGAAAAATTCCACATCCCATTGGGCTGTAGCATTCTTCAGGTATACACCAAAGCACTACAGAAGAACATAAAAAATAGCCTATTGTTATACTTTGTGGGAACCTGTTTAGAGGTGATATAGTGTCTACACCCACTGTGTGTATTGCACTGCAGTGAATGGTGGAATGGTAGAAATGCACAGAATACTGAAAGACTGGCTGTCATCTTCCAAGGAAGCACATGTAGGCTGTCAACTGAACATTTGATATGCTCCTGAGGCAGTCTTTCTTCATCTGGACGTTTATGATAATTGGCATCATTCCCATCCTTTAGGAGGAGAGGAGTTTGGGGAGAGACCATTCCAAGGAACCCTGTTTTCTTCAATCATCAAAACTTAACAATCATAGATCAAATCCATTATTTATCTCCAGCCAGAGTTTAGACATTTCACTATGAAAATTAACATCTTAACATTAACTGAGCCATTAAATCATGCAAGGTATAAATTGTTACATTAGTAATACATTAAGAAGATGTAGGCTTGAAATTAAAAACACTGACCAAATTAGACAAAATTGCCAATCCCCTGAATCATCTCCCCAAAATGAATGGATTAAAATAACATGAAAGAATAATCCTTATTGTTAATGCCATTGTTTAATTATTAAAGTTACTAAAATTGATATCAGTTTATGTATTTAACAAAAATATTTTGCTCAAGTTTCATCTTGCAGCTGGTTGAAATTAACATATAAAATATTTATCTTAAATTTAGGTTGGGAACATGGTATCCATTTATCAAATATATAAGTTCTCCCATACCTCCAAAGCCAAGATTTCTAAGGTGGTTTGCAATAAAATGTCAACATGTCAAAAACACACCAATACACTGGCAATATGCAGTGGTAGCCACAATGGCCTTTGAAATATATAGATAAAAGCTGTCTTTTAAGTTCAAAATGGAGAAAAATACTTGGTAAGAGACAAATACAAGGGGAGATTTCTTAACTGCAGCAATTCTGGCCACACATTTTGCTCCAAACAGAACTATCTGATACAGTATATAGTTTTTAA